TCAGATTGGATAATAGAATATCCTGTTCTATGCTGGCATCTACTGGTGAGGTATGATATAGCAGTAACATTTCATATACAGCAAGTTCCTAGTGCTCTTTGTCACATTAGAAAAATAAAGTTACTCTGGTTCTCTTCCCCTTTGGTTAATGTGAAAGGGATCTGACTTTTAGGAGATTGCAGTAAGGTAGTGTGTGTGGTTACTTAATGCGTTTGCATCAGTGGAAGCGGAGTGTCTAGGGGAGGGGTTCTCAAACCGTGGCCTACACCAGAGTCACATGAGGAGCTTGTTAAAATACAGATTTCCCAGCCCAGCACAAATGAGCCCTGGGAATTGGCATATTTAACATTTTCCCCAGCTGTTTCTGAGATATTTGGTCCCAGGACCACAGTTTGAGAAATACATGATGAAACACATAAAGGTCTGACTTTAGAGAGCATGTTCTTTCTGTTGAACCGTGTATCTTTCTGAGACTCTGGCCAGAGATTAGATGGTCGGGTGTCTGGGTGTGGACTAGGAATTCCTGCCTGGGTAAATCGTTGGGCCAAGGGAACTTTAAAGTCCCTTCCAACTGCAAGGTTTTGTGTTTCCTCTGATGGTCTGTTTCTTCCAAGATGCTCCGTATTCTCTCCTCTATGTTGCCAAAAATCGGAGTGCTGTTTTCTACTGCTTGGTTGTAGATTAGATGCTAAAAACTGCAAGCGCATCAATCTTGGAGGAAGCCAAGCAGCTGGCTACCTCCAGCGTCTCCTCCAACTGAAGTACCCTGGGCACCTGGCAGCTATCACTCTCAGCCGCATGGAGGAGATTCTGCACGAGCACAGCTACATTGCTGAGGACTATGTGGAAGGTAATGAAGAGGACATTTGCCTACAGCTTTTGGATATTGTCTACCTTTGGGGTGATCCTTAAGTTGTTTCTAGTATGACTCTTTGCTTGCTTACTTTTTTACTCTAAATTATAATACTTTGTAGTACCTCTTACCCTTTTTGTTGTTCATTTTCTTAAACTGTTGAATAAACCAATAACTTACATAGGTAGGTTCCCTTCATAAGTGGTAGCTTTTACAGTTGGCTTCCAGTACAGGTCTTGGGATTATACAACTTTTTCCAGTGGTGAAACATTCTTAAGAGTGAGCAGAACATACTAGATTAAAAATAGTTTAAGTTTGAAGACAATTGAAATTGTTTCATCACACCATTAGAGTAGAATCCATACTCCAGAAGCATACCTTTCTCTCTTCAAGCTTGTCTTGAACTTTTGGTTGTATTTTACTTCAAATTAAAGTATTACTTTTAATTACTATTGTCTTGTCACACAAATATATATGTTCCTCACAAATTTTGGTAGTTCAAATAAAACCAAAGGACTGTGGACAATACCACCATTAATACAACTCTGCTGTACGTTTTCTTGGAGTTTTTGTTGGCATCTAAGGTGCTGACTTCAGCTGGCTGATAGTGAGCTCCTGAAAGGCAAAAGCCATGTCTTTTTTTTTTTTTTTTAACTTTTAGTTATGGTGAAAACTACATAACATAAAATTTACCATTTTAACGCCCCCCCCCCCCTTTTTTTAAAGAGGTAGAGTCTTGCTTTGTCACTCAGGCTGGTGTGCAGTGGCACAATCATGGCTTACTGTAACCTTGAATTCCTGGGCTCAAGCAATCCTTCTGCCTCAGCCTCCTGAGTAGCTGGGACTACAGGCATGTGCCACCATGCCGGGCTAATTTTTTAGTTGTCCAGCTAACTTCTTTCTGTTTTTAGTAGAGACAGGGTCTCGCTCTTGCTCAGGTTGGTCTCGAACTCATGAGCTCAAACAATCTTCCCGCCTCAGCCTCCCAGAGTGCTAGGATTACAGGCGTGAGCCACCGCGCCCGGCCAGTCTTCTGTAGGTTTTATATTTCTGTGTTTACATTGAGTTCTGTGATCCATTTTGAGTTCACTTTTTATAAGTTTTGAGGGATTAGGTCACTTATTTTTTTTTTTAATTTTGTATATGGATGTCCAATCATTCCATGTCATTTGTTGAAAAGATTGTTGTTTTTGGAGGGTAGGCTGTCCCTAAGACCACTCCCAGGTGTAATGATTTGCTAGAAGGACTCACAGGACTCAAAAGTTATTAAACTCATGGCTATAGTTTATTGCAGTGTAAGGATACAAAGCAAAGATGCCAAAGGGGAAAGTGTATAGGGTGAAGTTCAGAGGCAGCCAGGCACGAATTTCCAAAAGTCTTCCAGTGGAGTCACACAAGATACACTTAATTCCTTCAGTGAGTTGTGATGACACATATGAAATGTTTTTTACTGGGGAAGCTCATTGAAGACCCAGTGCCCAAAGTTTTTATTGGAGGCTAGACATGTAAATACCTTCTGCTAACACATACCAAAATTCCAGCCTTCTAGAAAGAAAACAGGTGTTCAGCATAAACCATCTTGTTTGCCCATACAGTCTAGGCAAAATGAGCCACACTTATTAGGGAAAGTTTTATATTGGTATAGGGAACTGTTAACCGGCCAGGTTCCCAGATGCTAGCCAAGGACTGAGCTTTCAAGCAGGTCTTTCTAAGGATAGCAGTCCCAGGCTGCTTTTGAATGGATTTTGAGTTTCATGAAATGCTTTTGCTGCATCAGTTAAGATGATCTTGTGGTGTGTCTGCTTTAGATTGTTCGTTTGAGGGATTATAATGATTGCTTTTGAATATGAAACCAGGCTTGATTTTTAGGGGGGATATAAACCCACTCGTTTATGTATATTACTGTTTTATCTATTGCTGGATTTGATTTGGTAATATCTCGTGGGGGTTTTTTGTGACTATATTCATGAGGGACGTTAGGATATAGTTTCTTTGTACTACTGTCTTTGTGTGGTTTTGGTGTCAGGGCAATACTGGCCTTGTTAAATGAGTGGAAAAGTGCTCGTAGAACTTTCTGGAAAAGATTGTATAAATAATTGATTTTTTTTCTTTTTTAAGTATGTGGTAGCGTTCTCTAGTGGAACCATTTGAGCCTGGGGGTTTCTTTTTCTGAAGTCTTTTAACCATGAATTAAGTTTCTGTAATAGACATAGGACTATTCAGGTAACCTTATTGATTTCTTCTCTTTACTGTTTCCTTCGTTCTCCTTGGTTTAGGTTTATTTTGCTCTTTTTATCCTAGTTTCTTAAAGTACAAGCTTTGATTATTATAAGGCCATTCTTTTTAATATTAGTGTTTAATGCTGTTAATTCCCCTCTCAGCATTGCTTCATCTGTATCCCACAAGTTTTTATATATTTTCATTTTTACTGACTTCAAATATTTTCTAATTTCCTTCAAGACTTCTTTAAGCAATTGATTATTGCAGAAAACTAACAAAATGATGGAAAAAAGAAAAAGAAATGTGGTGTTTTATGTCCAAGTGTTTGAAAATTTTCTTATCTTTCTGTGATTTATTTCTAGTTTAATTCTGTTGTGGTCAAATAACTCTCTTTGATGTCAATTAAATTTGTTTATTTTATGACCCAGAGTGTAGTCAACTTTGACAAAAGTGTCATATACACTTGAGAAGAATACACACTCTGCTCCTGTTGGGTGGAATGTTCTGTGATGTCATTTAGGTTCTGTTGGTGGTGGTGTTCAGTTCTTCTGTATCCCTGTTTATTTTCCATCTACTGGCTCTACTGATTATTGAGAAAAGAATGTTGAAGTCTGTAGGTATAATTGTGGATTTTCCTATTTCTCCTTTCATTTCTGTCAGCTTTTGCTTTCACGTATCTGAATCTCTTTTGTTAAGTACGTATTTAGGATTCTTAAGTCTTCTTGGCAAATTGACCTTTTATCATTATGTAACATCTGTCCTTCTCCTTGGCAATTTGCTTTGCTTTGAAGTCTACTTGAATATTAATATAGCCACTCCAACTTCCTTTTGATCAGTGTGCACGTGGTACATTTTTCCATCCTTTTTCTTTTCACGTACCTATACCATTATATTCAGAGTGAATTTCTTAGTAGTTGGGTCATTTTTTAAAAATCTATTTTGTCAATATCTTTTAATTGGTATGTTAGGACCATTTACAATTAATTATTAATATATTTGAATTTAGGTCCACCATTTTGTTTCTTTTTTGTTCCCTCCATGTATTGCTCCTCTGTTTGTCTCTCCTACCTTCTTTCAGGTTATTTGAACTTTTTTCTTTTTTTTTTTCCTTAGCATTCCATTTTAATTTATCTGTTTTTTTTGTTTTTCTGTATCTCTGTGTAGGTTTTTTCTTTTTAGTGGCTGCCCTAGAGATTACAGTAAACATAACTTTTCACAGTCTGCTCAGAATTAATATTTACCACTTCAAGTGGAATATAAAAATTGTTAGCACTATCCTTTATCCTTCCCTGTTTATGTTGGAGTTGTCTTATATGTTACAGCTACATACACTGGAAACCCATCAGACAGTGTTATGATTTTTAAATTGTCAGACACATTTTAGACAGTTCATGGGGAGATTAGTCTGTTAATGTTTAACCAGATTTTCATCATTTCTATTGCTCTTCCTACATTCCTGATGTTCAAAGCCTCCTGGTGCCGTTTCTATCTGAAGAACTTTATTTAGCCATTCTTTTAGAAGAGCTCTGCTGGCGTGATATCCAGGTTTTACAGCTACATTTAGTTAATTGAGTGGATTCAGAGACTGGGTGGAGTGTGTTTTCTCCATTGTAAACCCTGTGGAGCCCAGGTATTGACGTTTTACTTTTTGTGTTAATAGTCCATTTCGTAACTTCCAAAATTATTTGTTTGAAGAATTACAGAAATGGCGGTGCCCTGATTATTACGAGAACAACGTCCACAAGATGCAGCTCCCATTTTCCAGCAAGCTCCTTGGCAGCACCCTGACCTCGGAGGAGAAACAGGAAAGGCGGCAGCAGCAACTGCGGCGGCTGCAGGAGCTCAATGCCCGGCGGCGGGAGGAGAAGCTGCAGCTGGATCAGGAGCGGCTGGACAGACTGCTCTATGTGCAGGTAACAGCAGATACAAAGGATGTGCTCCCAGCCGTGCTCAACAAGATGGTCCCAGAAAATTTCCTTCCTATGTATCTTTCCTTGGCCATAAAATGCGTTGACCATCTAAGTCCCCTTTGGGGTCAAGAATGAGTTTAGGGGATCATCAGTGTAGAGTACAATATAGAAGCAGCTTTTTCTCAAAGAGCTGTGGGCTCCAGCTTCATTGATTTGTTTATTTTGGCCTTATAATCTCCTTTATTTCAGTTTTTAATTTGTTGATTTAAGTGTAGCATATATAATGCAAATTGCACAAATCTTAAGTCTAAACCTCGATGAATTTTCACAAAGAAAAACACACCCATGTATCTGCTATCAGATCAAGAAACAGAGCTGTACCAGCATCCCAGAAGCCTCCCTCCTGTCTCCTCTTGGGAAGTAACTTTCCCACCTTCCCCTGCAAGTGGTAACAACATTTCTGTCCTCTATCACCATTGATTAGTTTTGCCTAATCAGGTGTTGCTGGAACTGTGATGCCTAGAGACAGCTGTGGAGGAGAGCAGCTGTGCCAACCTGTGACAGGAGCCGGAGATGCGGCTCTGCAGCAGGCAGGCCAGGGGAGGCCTCTCCTGCTGCACTTCTTCTCTGTGTCGCTTGAAGCTACTTCTCTTTCCTTCCTGCTTGTGATTGCACCGTTTGTCTTTGAGGATGAATTGTGACTGCTCTGGTTTCAGGAACTTCTCGAGGATGGCCAGATGGATCAGTTTCACAAAGCGCTGATAGAACTGAACATGGACTCCCCAGAAGAGCTTCAGTCCTACATTCAGAAGCTCAGTTTGGCAGTGGAGCAAGCTAAGCAGAAAATCCTTCAAGCAGAAGTCAACCTGGAGGTGGATGTGGTAGACAGCAAGCCAGAGGTAACTGCGAGGGCCCTGGGAGGGAGCAGCCCTTCCTGAGGGGGAGGAGTGTCCTAAGAGGGCTGACATCAGAGGGGTGTGACTGGAGTCCAGGAGGAAAAGAGAACAACATGACGCGTGTTGTCCACTGGCACGTGGGTGGGGCAGTGATGGCACTGACCTTGTACCAACCAAAGTTCTGTCTGGAGGGATTTCACCCTGTAGGCCTCTGGCCCCCTCGAAGAGGAAGTGTGCATGTAAATAGGGAGAACACTCACACACCAGTCTTTTGGTGCTTTCTTGAACCCGAACCTGTTCCTCTGATGGTCATTTGACAGTCATACTCTCCCTTTAACATTCTTCTGGTGTTTTATTAACTGTATCGTGGTTGATTGTTCACTTCCCTCCCCTCCATCGTGGTGCTCCCTAAGGACAGGGATCACGCTTCATACAGAGTTTATGTGAGTTTTTACAGCTAGTAGCTATGCTCAATAAAACATTTGTAGGTTGCCTTAAGGTCAGCCTTTTTTTAGTAACTAAAGACTAACTCTTTGAATAAGCTCTTTGATTTTCTCTTTTTCTCATTTGTTTCCCTGCCTGTACACTGTTAATAAGTGTTGATGTGGCAGAAAGGGCAGGTGGCAGAGCTGAGCTGGGCCCTGGTTAGTCCAAACCCTGGCGTCTTGGGGCCTGCATGATGAAGGTGCAGCCTGCAGGTCACTCCTCAGCGCAGAACGGGTCTCCTGTCTTTAGAACTGGAACTAAGTGTTGATAAGTATATGTATGGTTCCTGAGTATATGTATGGATCCCTGCAGTTCCAAAACGAAAGAATTTACTCATTGCCTTGAAACATGTTTTAGGCAGGATAAACCAGACTAGCTTCTTGGCTTTTTGTGGTTAAATCTGCTTTCTTTAAACTCTTGATTACCTATGCTTTCAGAGAGAAGCAATACTGTGGAAAAATCCAAGTCAGTGCCGTTTGATGCTGGGTGCTGCTTATCAGTGATGTCAGAGCTGTCTTTGGCTCAGTGTGAAGCTTACTCATGCAGTGATGGGCTCTCAGCTGGAGGCTCACTCGTAGTTCCTGCTCTCAGCCTTGCCTTCTCTGCCTCTTGTTGACAGGCTGTAGATTATGTGAGGACAGTAACTGGCCATGAGCACATGTGCTTTATGGAGCAGATCCTGAGGGAGGCTTTCTAGATACACCTTCCCAGATCACTAAGATCTTGGGTAGAAGGGGCCTTCACCATCTTGCTCCCCTGCGCATCCAGATCAGCTTCAGTTGAGTCAGTGTGCTTTTTCTTGTTTGCTTCTCCCAGTTTTCAGGTCTTTGTTTCAGATTTGACCAAGTATTTTTTGAAAGGTAGAACTGGCTAGCCAGTGTCATGGTCAAAATTTATCCCATGAATGTGACTGTAACTGACTCTAATTGCCAAAACTTATCCTCAGTAAATGCTGACTGACCATTACAGCTTTGGTGAAAGCTTACTGAAATCCAGAACCATGTCATCTTTGTTTTATATTCATCCATATGTAGTTTTTATCATGTTTAGCATGTCAACAGGACATACGCTGCTTTATACCAAAAAGGTGTCACTAAGCCATGTGCAGGTGAGGGATTTCAGATTTAAAAAGGAAAAAAACCAAGCAGCTCTGAAGATGTGATTCCTGAGCAGTTGAGTAACTAGTTTATCCTTTTCTTTGTTCATTTTTCTGCATTTGTTACATGCTGTGATTCACCACTCCTCCGTTGGTTCAGTAGATACTTACTAAGCACCTCCTTTGTTCTGTGCTCCTGGGGCATATATTTAAATCTCCCTGGGAGGCTTTGAAATGTTGGACTTGAAAAGATTTCTCTGCAGTCCACAAATTTGATGAATTGATTGGTCACCAAAGCTGTAATGGTCAGTCAGCATTTATGAAAGGTAATTTTTGGTGATTAGAGTCAGTTACAGTCACATTCCTGGGATAAATCTGACCATGACACTGGTTAGCCAGTTCTACCTTTCAAAAAATACTTGTAGTATTTTCCAACTATATCTTTCATCTAGAATGAAGTGAATAGATATATGTGGACCAAATTTCACATTGAAATTCCACTTAAGCAGTAATGGCTGAATGGGAGTAATACAGCTGGAATTTTTAAATGTATAGTGTTTCCTGAAATCCCTTTTTCCTTAACAGACCAATCCATTCTGCCCTTGCTATTCTGCAGTTATCCCCGTGAGGATATAAAGGAGGAGGCTTTGCTAGCTTTCTGATGAGGTATTTGAACTAGGAGATGCTGGCTTTTCATAGCCACAAGCACAGCATAAAGGTAGGAGGGGAGAACACAGTTTTAGAGCATCGTCGTTTGTTGGAAAACACAATGGGCCAAATATAGGAAGTTCTCTTGCTTTACCAGCCAAGATCAGAGTTGGCCTCTGCTTGTTCTGCTGCTGCTCAATGCTGTTTTTAGGGAACCATGCTGCATCTTCTCTGATGTGCTTTGGCAAACTGTCGTTCCATTCAGTTCCAAAAGAACAGTCATATTCGTGTTCCTGAGCACCACACAATACATGTGGACACCCTGGCAAACCCAAGGGGGAGAGAAGCCAGCCGTGGTGGAGAAATCTGTTCTCTGTTGGATGCCTTTTTTCTGCAATGAAGTTATTAGCTTTGTTCCTCTCTGTGAATCATATGAATTAGGATAAGTAAATATTCTTCTTTACCATTTTTAGTGAAGCTAAGAAGTAATATGATTTTTTAAGATGACATGTTTTTTAATGTAGCTAGATGAAAGCAAATGATGATATTTTTGCTGCAGCTGAAGAAGCCTTTTGAAACCCAAAGGTTTATAATCTTCTCCATTCTGGGGGGAATTTGAGGGTGTATCCCAGGTCCCAGAGGCCCTCAGTGCCAGGCACAGTATGCCAGGGGCCAGGGATGCAGAGGTGACTAAGATACAGCTCCTCAACCTGAGCAATATAGCAAGACCCCACTTCTAAAAAAAATTAAAAAAATAAATTATCGCAGCATTGTGGTGCATGCCTGTAGTCCTAGCTACTCAGGAGGCCAAGGCAGGAGGATCACTTGAGTTCGCACTGAGCAATGATTGTGCCACTGCACTCCAGCCTGGGCGACAGAGTGACATCCGTATCTTTAAACAAACAAACAAAGCCCAGTTCCTGTCCTCCCAGGTGCCTAAAAAAAACAGACAAAAAGCAAAAACCTAGGCCTGTAGCAGCACACTTAGCTGCTTGGGATGGAGCATGTCAGGGGTGGAGGTGGCTGGTGTGGAAATACAGATGGATTTTTGAGAAAGGATTGGGATGTTTGATCTGGGCCCTGAAAGATTACCTGATTCCAGTAGTAGCAAAGGAGGAGGGAAGGCCATTTTAGGTGGAAAGAACCACGTGTGCAGGGAGGTGTGTAGAGTGTGGGCAAGAAGGGTGGTGGTGGGTGATGAAGCAGAGACAGCTATAAAGGTCTTCACCTGTCAGGCTAAGGAGCCTGCGTATTGTCCTTCAGACATAGAGAGCCCTCGAAGGAGGTTGAGCAAGGAGATGATATGATGAGATTTTATTTTAGGAAAATAACTGGTGGCAGTTAGCATGATGGGTTGAAGGGAGAAGTTAGGCTGAAAGTGGGAAAACAGAATAAAAATGTGTTGTAGTGTCCAGAAGAGAGCTGCTGTGGACCTGCAGTTTGTCAGTAACCATGGGGAAGGAGGGTGGAGGAGGAGTTACTTCAAAGGTGGCATCCCAAGATCTCGGTGCCATTTACAAGCCAAGGTGAGAGGAGTGGCAGTGGCTGATGACAACAGAAGATGTGGCACATGCCATACCCTGTGCTGAGCACTTGTGCAAGTGTCGTCCTAGTTAATTTTTACAACTCAGTGAGTGGGTACTATTATCATTCCCATTTTACAGACAAGGAAACTGAGACTTGGGCAAGTGGGGAAATTTGCCCAAGGTCGCATAGGTAGACGTCGTGCAGCTGAGATTCAGACTCAAGCAAAATCCCATTCCAGCTGCCACTCTTGTAATGTAGGCTGTTTGGAAAGGCAGTGAGTACGTGGGTGGTAGTGCCTTTGACCACGTTTGGGAAGATAATGAGCTAAGTTTTGACACCTTATCTTTAAAGTCTTTGTGGGACATCAGGTGGAGCTTTCCAGGACTCACCTATGAGAGGACATAGAATCAAATGGGACCTGAGAAAAGGAAAAGGCCTGGGGAATGCCACCACTTAGGAGCTGGATGGCAGAAGGGCCAGGGAAAGAGATTGAGAAAGCAGTCAGAGAAGAGAGAAGCCAGAAGGGTTGATGGGAGAGTTTCAAGAGATGTTTTAGTCATATCCCCAGCCCAACAGGACCTGCTGTTAAGGGACTAATTGTTAACATTAGTGTTGGCACGTATATTTATTAACTATTAAGAGGTTTATTTAATTTTTCTGGTAGTCTAGCTACCTTGTCAGCTGTCACACCCTTCTCCCCCAGAGCTGTGTGTGTGGGGTGTAACTAATGCAAGGAGCAAGTCATCCACGGGGCCCAGCCCCGAGCTGGCACTATCAGAACGTTTCAGAGAAGGTGGGGGTTGGTAGGCTTGTATACACAGGAAAGGTAGGAGACGAAAGCAAAGCGCAAAGCCCGTTTCTGGCTTTTTAGTCTTTTAATCTTTGTGTTTATGTGTGTGCTTTTTAAAAAAATTGCTTAGAAAATTTTTCATAATTTTTATGTAAGCTTTTAAAACATTGAACAAGATCCTGGTTATTTTTCGTGACACTGAACTAATAGAGCCAAGGCTTGCTGAAGGCACAGATTGTGTTTTGTTTATTCTATTCGATTCCAGACCCCTGACCTGGAGCAGCTGGAGCCGTCTTTGGAAGACGTGGAAAGCATGAATGATTTCGATCCCTTGTTTTCAGAGGAAACACCTGAAGTGGAGAAGCCAGTCGCCACTGTCCAGGTTTGACTCCTGCAGCCTAGACTGTGCTTATGCTTTGAAGCTGTTGACGTAAATGGCTGTGCTAGCCTGGTCTGTTTCATTAGGACTATCCTTTTGTTTTTTTTTTAAATCCTGGGCATTTTTTTCTAGAAAAAGAGGTACCAGTTCTTAAAACATCTGAAGTCAGGGATTTTTTCCCAGTTATTGATTGAGGTTCCAGTACTAAGGTGTGAATCTGTGAGAATCTGCCTAGCAGAAACATTTGGGAAAATAAGTAGGAACTTTAGATCTGAAGACTGTCTTTTAATGGTTTCGATTACATTTAAGCTAGCGTCCTTATGCTTAATCCTCTCTGGGGTCTATGTTTTTGTCATCACAATGGCAACCAGGTGAACTGTCCTGACTCTGAGACCCAGCTGGGAGAGAGGGGCGGCGGTGCTAGGCCAGCCCGGGGCAGGAGACCTGTCCTCCACGCTGGGCCTTTTTACTGCTGCTCTCCACGATGTCTCTTTCCCTGCAGCGCAGGGACCATTTCGTGATGTAAATATGTAGGTATTTGTAATTCAGAGGTTGAATGAAGGTAGAAGATTGAATTATCAAGTCAAGAGAGTTGGGGGGAGGCTAATTTGCCATGAACAAAGGACAGAAACTATTTAGAAATACGAAGTGCAGTTTGAGGAAGCTGGCAGCTGGGATGTTTATCATTACGGCCTAAAAATATCTTTTAAACCTTGGGTTTTTAAAGCCCGTGTTTAACTTGGCAGCATATCATCAGCTGTTTGTTGGGACAGAAAGAATTCGAGCCCCAGAAATTATCTTCCAGCCGTCTCTCATAGGAGAAGAGCAGGCTGGGATTGCGGAAACCCTTCAGTACATTCTGGACAGGTGAGACCGTGAAACTTCTGTTCCTTATATTTTCCTGAACCTTTTCCTTGGATTTTGCACCAAATGGTGATTTGATGGTCGGGCACTTTGGAAATCCATCTCGCTCTTTTCTTTTCATTGACTTGCCGTGCTCCGATAGTATTCTTTTATCTCTGTCACCAGGCCTGGCACCTGGTTGGGACTGTTTGTAGTTGTTTTCTGAATCTGTAAAGTGCTCATTTGATTTGAGCAGCTTTGAGAGTTTCTTTTAAGTTGAGCAGCACGATAACTTGTGCTCTGGCTTTCATGTAAACCTTCATATTATCGAAGACTAGTGATTTTAAATCACCCTAAAAATATTGCAGAGGTTATAAAAGTTTTTTTTTTTTTCCTTCCTTACAGGCATTTTACTTATTAAAGGGTTTACATTTCTATGAGAATACACCCCCCGTCCCCTGTGTATACAGGCAGTCCCTGCAGTGCGAGATTGTGTGATTCAGCTCGGACAAGTAGGGAATGTGACTGTAGTACTCCGGCTGCTATGGCTTGTAACGGGATGGGAATTTGCACCTAGCGAGGGAAAAAAGCTTTTGCAGCTACTTTGTTTGAGTGGCTTTGAGCTTTGTCTTAACAGTGGGTGGGAAAGTGATCAAACATGTCTAAGATAAAGCTGTTATTAAAAAAGAAAAAAGCACAAGTGGAGAGATGGACCCTCAAAAGGGAGGTGGGACATTTGAGGGATGATGGAAATGTTTTATATTTTAATTGTGGTAATGGTTATAGGGGTATATAAATTTGTCAAACTTTATCGAAATGTGTGTAAAGTCATCCTCAATAAAGCTGATTTTTAGAAAACATGTATTACAAAATTATCAGAATTCTGATCACATTAGGGAAATGAGTTGACCATTCAAATTAAGGTTTTGACTAGCTATTTGGAAACATTGGACCAGCATTCTATAGAGACACAAATGAGAAGTGAAAGTTTTGGTTTTGTTTATTTTTTTTAAACTTCTCATGTAGACGTTTTCTATTTTGTGCTGAAAGCGTACATTTCCACATCTGTATTCCCTCTGATAATCAAGTTAGAGGGACTGTACCAGAAGGAGTTGTTTCTCTCCTAGGTACCCAAAGGACGTCCAAGAGATGTTGGTTCAGAACGTGTTCCTCACCGGCGGGAACACTATGTATCCCGGGATGAAAGCCAGGATGGAGAAGGAGCTGTTGGAGATGAGGCCCTTCCAGTCTTCTTTTCAGGTACTGATTGTTCATGTGGCCAGCCAGTTTGAAAATAGCATTAATAGTTTGTTTTCTGCTTGCAAAAGTAATGAAATGTAAATGAGAAAAATTGCTTTACAATTCCATCATCCAGAGAGATCTACTATTAACATTTTTGTGGCCTTCCCTCTGGTCTTCAGTTTATGTTTAATTTTTCAAGCAGAATGGGAATCGTGGTTTGTATACTATTTTGTGGTTTTTTTTTTTAATTGGAAAAGGAAGACATGCATGTAATAAAATTCAAAGAGTACAAAAGAGTGTACATCAAGAGTAAGTCATTGTCCCTACCCTGTCCCCCATCCTACAGGCAAAGCTTATCTTTCATAAGTTTTCTACACAAGAAAGTGTATTACTTCGTAAACTGAGTTTTCTTAACCTGTCATGAACATTTTTCCATGTCATTATTCTTGTAAAAGACTGTTTTTTTGATTGTATGGTATGAATGCCCCACGGTTTTTCTACCAAATTCCTGATTACTAAGAAACATGGGCTGAGCTCCCAAGATGGATCAGGCACTGTGGGGATGCTGAGATGACCTGGGCACAGCCCCTCGCTGCAAGGACCTTGCTGTCTGAGGGGGCAGCAACCTAGTAAACTGGCTGGGTTGCCCCAGAGCTTGATGGACGTACAGGTGGGAGTGCCCAGCAGTCTCCACTGGTGTTCAGAGAAGGCTCTGTGGAACTGGATCTTCAAAGGTTGGGTAGGTGTCCGCCATCTAGACAGCATGGTGTGGGTAGGTTGGAGAGAGCATTCCAGACATAAGGACTAGCACGGGCAAAGGCACGGGGGCCAGAAGCTTGTTGAGGGAGCCTGAAGTGGCCAAGTGTGGCTGGAGCATGTAGCTGCTAAAGAGGAGTGGAGGCGGATGAGGTGGAGCGGTGAGCAGAGCCCATACGGTGCAGAGCCTGTGCGTCCTGCCGAGAAGCGTGGCCATGATCCACTGTGCTGCGTGGTGTAGGATACACTCGGGGTGTGGTCTCTGGGCTTTGGTCCTGACTCCGTTGCCACTATGACTGAATTTTGCTAAGCCTCAGTTTTCTCAGTGGTAGGAAGGGGGTAATCATAGCACCTGTTGCCAGGGTTCAGTGTACTGGTGCACATCACATGCGCTCAGCACAGGGCCTGCACATAATAGACTCTCAACGCTAGCTGTTGTGTTGGGGGTCCCTGAGACCGCTCCAGGTACACTGATTGACTAGGAGGACTCACAGGACTCAGCGTGTAATTGTATTTATGGCTACGACTTAGTACAGTGAAGGATACAAAACAAAATCAGCAGAGAGGCAAGGAGCATGGGGAACCAGGTGCAAGCTTCCAGAGTCCTCGCCCAGAGGAGTCACACAGGACATACTTAATTCCCCCAGCAGCAAGTTGCAACAACATGTGAAATGTTGCCAACCAGGGAAGCTTGTTAGACACTAAGCGCCTAGGGTTTTTACGTGGGGGCGGATCACGTAGGCACCCCCTGCTTGGAGCATACCCAAATTCCAGACTCACAGAAGGAAAGCAGGTGTTCAGCATAAACCACATTGTTGTGCAAACAGGCACAGTGAGCCACTCTTACCAGGTAATGGTGGGAGCCCTCCCAAAGTCTAAGTTCCCAGATGCCTGCCAAGGACCAGCCTGTACCCCTGCCTTCTTAAGGATAGGCAGTAGGCCTGCTCTGTTAACCCTTTCCTGCACAGCTGCTGTCTAAAGGCCATAGTGAACCAGGAAGGAGTCTAAGCAGAGGAGTCATGTGATCCAATTTGCATTTTAAGATACTTTCGACACTGGTGTGAAAAAATGGAAAATCAGGGGAAATATTGGAAGAAGGAGACCAGTTAGGAAGCAGCTCCCTAGCCTTTAGGAGGAAGTCCTCACTCCTCTCCACTCACCACGGTTTACAAGGTCCCTTGTGATCTGACCTTGCAGAATTGTCCAGTGTTATCTCATCACCTTCTACCTTCTACCTTGTATTTCAGCCATAGGTAACTGCTGTCAGTTCCCCAGATCTGCCATTTTTCCTGCCTCAGGGCCTTTGCATGCAGCTGGTTCCCTTTGCATAGAATACTCTTACTAGCTCATTCCAGCTCTCAGCGACTGGTTTCCATGCAACTGTCTTGTGACATGTGTTCCAAGCCCTTGGCATGGTATCACTTAGTAGCTATGTAAGAAATATGAAGGCCGCGGCAGAGGGAGAGGAAAGGAGGGAGTTGATGTGAGGGAGTTTAAGGGAGTAAAGTCATCAGACCTCGATAGTAGATTGGATTTGGGGAGAGAAGTGGGACCTATGACAACTGCCAAGTTCTAGGTGGAGCAACTAGTTGGATGACTATGACATTCACTGAACTAGGAACCATGGGAGGAAGAACAGGCTGGAGGGGAGGTTAGTGTGTTCTGTTTCCAGGGTGGATTGAGCTGGGTTTCCAGTGGACACACAGGAGGAGGTGGCCATAGTGAGCTGTGAGTGCTCAGGGGAAGGTGGAAGGGTGGATTCGCATCTCCTCCTGTCAGTGTGCTTGCGGGGCCAGGTGACGTCATGGATTAAGCCCTAGAGGACACCCACATTAAGGGGTTGTAGGAGGGTTGGGCGACGCCCACGATGCTGTCTAAGAAAGAGGCTGTGTGCGAGGCGGGGGAGGTGGGAGGGGAACCAAGGGAGCAGCAGCATCGAAGCCAGGGGTGATGCTAGGAAGCGTGAGCGAGGGTGAGTCACGCTGGCAGGGCCGACTTGTGATGAGGTAGTTGAGAAAAAAATCTTAGAGGATTTTCAAACCTATTTGTTGATAATCCCCAAAGCCTTTCCCGTGAATTACTTCGTGAGCACTGGTTGGGGAACACTGCCGCCAGATCTCTGCCAGCCCTGGCTTTGAGCTGTTCCCGTCTCAGGTGGCCTAGCCCAGCTGGCCTCTCCCCCACCGTCCCTGCTCCCTTTCACGTTGCTCGTGCAGTGAGTGTGCCGCACCACCACTGAGCCCTGACGTCCCAGTTTTAGATTACACGTTCAGCAGTGGCTCAGGCGTATGAACTGTCTAAGGTCCTGTGTGATCTTTAAAAGGTAGAGAACCCCAAGATGTGCACAATGTTTATAATTTCTGTAAGAAAATAGTTTCTGTTGTTTTTTCATAAACAACAAAACATTTAAAAACATTACAAAAATATCAGACAATTTTAATAAGTCAAAATGAAAACAGGAAAAAATTATAATTCCATCGTCCGTGAGAGATGTTATATGTACGCTTTCTGGTCTTTCTTCTCAGGTATGATTTTAACAAAAAAAATAGATTGTTGGTAGCTTGTTATGTGGCCCATATTTTTTTCACTTTGAAATAATTGTGACAGTTTTTCTATGTTGATAGGTACATTTCCAAAGCATTTTTTATGGCTATATAATATTCTGTTAACTATATATCTTATTTCCTTTTTATTGGTAGTAGTGATAGCTACCATTTATTGAACACTCTGTACTGGGAAGTATACCAAGTGTCTCACCCTCTCCCTGCCTCCTCCCAAGTCAGAGCCGTAGGGCCTCTTGTTATCCTAATCTTGCGAAGAGGTCCCTATTCACGAGTGCCTGCCCGTGTGCTAAGCCCAGGCAGTCGGACTCCTGAGCTTACGCTTTTTTCACTTCGTTCTCCTCTGTGCGTGTGATTCCACTTTGTGTGGCCTGCCCCTCCTGTACCTCCGCAGGTTCTAAGACCACCATTCCAAGCTGGAATCCATGTGGTTGGCGGAGGGGAGGAGGTGAAAGGGAGGCGGGAAGGGAGGCAGTTGAGTCTGGAACCCAGGAGGCCGACGTTGAGCTACAGAGTGTTACCCGAATGGTGAGGGCGGCCTGGTTGCGGGCCCCTCACAGAGCTGCTGACCCCCAGCCTCCCTCGTTAATAAGCCGTGGGAAGTAAGCACTGGCAGCGTCACAGAGAATGCCCAGGTCACCCCTCTCTGCTGTCATTTCTCTGAGGCTCTTTTGCTATCATGACCAGAGCTGCCTCCCATCAGCCTCTGCTTTTCTCTGCTCACAGAGAGGAGGGGCACGGGGCCAGGAAGGCCTTTCCTCCACTTGAGTGCCAGCCTCCACTTCTCTCCTCCGCACCAGCTTGTGGTTGGTAGCATCGTGGAGCAGGAGACAGGGCACCTGGGCCCTCCCTGACCCAGAGTGGCAGGTCTTGTGCTCATAAAACACCTGCCAGCTGTCGTTCTGTGAGGTCATGTGTGGTGCGCTCTCCTGGAGAGTCTGGGCGTTTCAGCTCGGCTTTGTTTGGAGGGTGCAGAGGTAGCCCTGCACTATGTTGGAGTAAACTGGGGCCCTCCTGTGTGCGTATTTCTGGGGATAAGGTGTAGGGGCTGTAGCCGGGCCTGCTGAACATCCACGCCTGGAGCCCTGGTGGGAGTCGTCCTTCTGGTGAATGTTCTTTCTGTGTTTCAGGTTCAACTTGCCTTGAACCCCGTGCTGGACGCCTGGTACGGTGCTCGTGACTGGGCCTTGCACCACCTAGATGACGACGAAGCCTGGGTCACCAGGAAAGAATATGAAGAAAAGGGAGGAGAGTACTTCAAGGAGCACTGTGCTTCCAACATCTATGTCCCCATCCGCCTGCCCAAGCAGGCGTCCCGCTCCTCGGAAGCCCAGGTGTCCGGCAAGGGGCCGGGAGCCGGTGGGAGCAGCGCTGGCGAACAGGCGTAGCACAGGCGCCCTCCAGAGTCCGCCCTGCCCACGATGCCCATGGGCCACGGTGGCAGCATGACGGGACAGTGACTGTGCTAGGTGTATCCAGCCCAAGTCTACTGGTCACTTTTGGTTGCAAAATGGACTTCTCCTGGGGAGAACAAAGTTAAGGGACACTGGGAGCTGCCCTTTAGAATTGTGTTCATTTGGGGGCTTCTGCAGTGAAGATGCTTTCAGTGGCTTCCTGGTACCTTTGTTGAACTCTGATGAGCTGTGGCATCGGCTTCCTGCAGCAGTAAATGAAGACGGGGAGGACAGAGATGTACAAAGTGTACAAGACTGATTTCGTACTGTGTTTTAGAGCCTTTTTTGTTTAAAAAAAAATCCTTTAAAATTTATTTTGACAGTGTACGTATTTTATTCTTCTAAATTTGTTGAGAAATTTCATGAGTGTCCAGCAGGGGGAGGTCTTTCACGGCTGTGAAAACGTAGTGTTTATTGCCTTGTGCACTCGCACACCTGTAACCCCACTTGACGGGAGGCTGAGGCAGGAGGATCGCTGGAGCCTGGGAGTTCGAGGCTGCAGTGCACTGTGAGTGCACCTGTCAATAGCTGCTGCATTCCAGCCTGGGAAACAGACCTTGTCTCTAAAAAATTTTTTTTAAATTTTAAAAGGGAAAAAAAAAAAAATATTTTTCAAAAATAAACAAAAAAAAAAAAAAAAAAAAAAAAATTTAAAAAAAAAAAGGTTATTTTGGGAAAAAAAAAAAAATTTTTTTTAAATTTTTGAGACAGGGTCTTACTCTAGTTCACCTAGGCTAGAGTGCTGTGGCGTCAGCCTAGCTCACAGCAACCTCAAACTCCTGGGCTCAAGCAATCCTACTGTCTCGGCCTCCCGAGTAGCTGGGACCACAGGCATGTGCCACCATGCCCGGCTAATTTTTTCTACATATATTTTTAGCTGTCCAATTAATTTCTTTCCATTTTTTGGTAGAGATGGGGTCTCGCTCTTGCTCAGGCTGGTACTTCCTTTCTCTTATTACTTCCCCTACAGATAAGGAGAAAAGACCCAAAAAGGGTCACCAACTTGTGCACAGTCACTCTGCTGGCCGGGGACCTACTTGGTGCCCTCTTCTCAGGGGGCAGCGATAGGACCAGTGGCCCAACTTTTGTTCCTACTTTCTTTGCTGGAAACTTTTCTACCATACGAGGCCTTCCTTCAGATGTTTTGTTTCTGTCCCTGTGAGTTTGTTGGCTCTTTAATAACATTTTCAGGCCTTTCTGAAGAAAGAAATAGACTGGAGAAGGTTAATCTGTAGCTTTTTTTGGTTTTGCATTCTCTGTACTTTCGCAGCTTCATCTTAAATGAACAGATGACCCCTCCCTTTTGCAGAGATTGCCTCGGGAGAATTTTAACTCTCAAGCACACCAAGATTTGAGCCCAGGAGGCCCCTGAGCTGCTAATATTACTGTCAGAGAATCTGTACATTTAAATCCCATGGAACCTCTAGCCCACCCATCTGATGAGGCCCCCTCAGAACCTGCGTGCTCCTGCTACCAAGGGTAATCGCCTGGACCTCCAGCTCTCAAGCGTTTAGAAACCGCAGACGAGGAGGGGGCCGTGGTGGTGGAGAAAGTAGAAGACCCGAGCTGACCCAAGACCTCCCAAGACGTTGCCCTGTGAGCCACGGCTGTCCGTGGCTGGGCCCGGGGACTAGTGAGATGGTGAGAGGCGCGAGTTGTTCAGAAAGGACAGATGTGAGAGGGCAAGGCCCAGTCTCCGTGTGAGAAGGTTTCCATAGCACGTGTCCCGGGGGCAGACTGTGCTAAGTGTCGGGCCTGGGCTCTCTCTCTCACAGTCCACAGTTTAAGCAGCCTGAGTGGCAGTGGTGAGGTCAAAGACTACCTTGGAGGTCAAGTCCTGACGGGGAAGGACCTGGGTTGGGCAGGTGAGCTGGGCATCTGCTGGCCAAACAAGCAGTCAGCTGGCCCTGCTCGGGGTTGTGGGTGGTAGGAGGTTAGGGGCTGTGGTGAGGCGCAGGCCAAGGGGCTGATCCTTGAGCCCTCACATTAAACACGCCATGACGTTGTGGCCGCCTTTGCTGCGTGGGTCCTCGCCAGCACACCAGGCAGGAGTTTGCTACCCGTGGGCCCTTCACACAGACCACAGCAGGGCACCTGCCGTGGTTCCTTGGGCTTTATCTAGGCCCCAGATGGTCTCTTCTACGCTGTGATATGATCCCCAAGATCAGGTGTCTTCCATTCCGCTTGGAGTACCCAGAGCCCAGAGCTAGACTCAGAGGGTGCTGAGGGCTCACCGGGAGTGTGGCCCTGGTGCTGCCTTGGTTCCAGACTCTGGCCTCCAGAACTGTGAGACGATAAATTTGTTTTTTAAGCCCCAAGTTTGTGGTAATTTGTGATGGCAGCGCTAGGAAGCGAATGCAGATGGCCAGGGTGAGTCTGAGAGCGAGTCTGAGTACGGGGGGAGGTGTTAAGCCATAGAGTAGGAAGTAACTTGCCCGCAAGTTGGGGCAGTGCCAATGACAGCAGATCCTAGATGACAGCGAGGGTTTGCCCCAGGCGAGCTGCACCGGCAGTGCAGGGGTACGGGGAGGGCGCTTGGGAAGTGCTCAGGACCAGAGCTGGCAGTCGTGGAAAGGCCCCTCCTCTGGGCGCGACGGAGCACCTTGGCAGCCAGGAGAGGTATAAAGGGGGCAAGGAAGGGCCTGGTGATCTGAGGCTTAGTAAAGCAAAAGAGGATCCGAGGAAGCCATACCACAGAGTGGCAGATACTAAAGAATCTGTCTTTCACTATAGGAACAGAAGGGGGAGCCCTCGAGCAAAGTGGAGCACCACCCAACCGCCTCCCCACCCCATTCGTTATCCACAATATCCTCCCGCTAATAGTTGTTTAGATAAATCTAATGTGCTCAGATATGAACATAATAAACCTGCAGCATCCTTATGGGGATACTGGAAGAAAAGACCAAACCCAGAACATTCAAATCAAAACTTTTTAGCAGATAAAACACTCCCCCTCAAGGTACTGCAAGGCAGGAGCAACATTCCAACATGAACTTAGAATAATTAGACAAAACAGATGTGAGGCCACCACAAAACACATGAAAAGCATTGAGATGACCAAACGACAGGTAGATTTGCGATGGGAACTGACAGAACGCAGGAAAGAAAATGAGGGGAAAAAAAGTTATCTCAAACCTCAATTCCAGATGCACAAGGGAGAAGATACTCAATTGAAAAAGGAAATAAGATTAATAGATAAGGAAAAGAGGCAAAGGAAATCAACCCAATAGAATATAGTTGAAGAAGAAAATTCAATTATATCACATTCTTTTTGTTGTGATATAAAAGACATGACATAAAATTTATCGTCTTAACCATTTTTAAGCATCCAGAACAGCAGTGTTAACTACGTGCACATTATTGGTCAAGCGATCCCCCCAATTTTTTCATCTTACAAAACTGAAACTCCATACTCATTAAACAACTCCGCTTTCCTCCAGCAACCACTATTCTACTTTCTAAGAGTTTGATTGCATAACTCATGTGAAGGAAATCATACAGTATTTATCTTTTTGGTGGTCTTGTTGGTTTCACTTAGCATGATGCCCTCAAGTTTCATCCATGTTGTAGCATGTGTCATAATTTCCTTCCTTTTAAAGCCAAATGATATCCTATTGTATGTATATAGCGCATCTTCTTTACCCATTTACATGTCGATGGACTTTTAGATTGCTTCCATTTCTTGACTATTGCAAATAATGCTATGATGAACATGGGAGTGTAGACATCTCTTCAAGATCCTGATTTCGACTCCTTTGGATATATCCCCAGAAGTGGGATTGCTGGGTGTTTTTTGTGGAACTTCCACATTGTTTTCCATAGCAGCTGCACCATTTTACATTTCTACCAATGGTGCACAGGGTTCCAGTTTCTCCACATCCTCACCAACTCTTGTTATTTTGTTCTTTCGATAGTAGCCAGACTAATGGGTGGTTTTGATTTGCATTTCCCTAGTGATTAGTGATGCTGAGCATCTTTTCATATGTTTGCTGGCCATTTGTATGTCTTTAGAGAAAGGCATACTATTTACATCTTTTGTCCATTTTTTAGTCGGGTTATTTTGGGTTTTGTTATTGAGTTGTAGGAGTTCTTTATATATTTGGGATATTAACCCCTTATCAGATATATAGTTTGCAAATATCTTCTCCCAGTCTGTAGGTTATTTTTTCACTCTTTATTGTTTACTGTGCAGAGAATTGTAAATGTGACGTAGTCTCATTTTTCTGTTTTTGCCTTTGTTGCCTGTTCTTTTGGTGTCGTATTTAAGAAATCATTGCCAAATCCAATGGCATAAGGCTTTTTTTATGTTTTCTTCTAGGAGTTTTATAGGTTCAGGACTTATATTTAGATCTTATGAACTACACTGAATTTTATATTGAAGACAATACAATGGAACAAAATTAATATTTAAAACTGGTAACTCAATAAAACTTTCTTCCTTCCACAACAAACGAACAAACAAAAATACCCTGAATATAAATACCATAAGGTGTGCTTAGGAAGGTTGACTCAAAAGTGCCAGATCCTAGTAAAACTCTTAGACTTTAAAGATAAAGACAAGAGCCCCCGCACGGTGGCTCGTACCTGTAGTCCCAGCTACTGGGGAGGCTGGGATGAGAGGATCGCTTGAGCCCAGGAGTTCCAGGCTGCAGTGAGCTATAACCACGCCACTGTACTCCAGCCTGGGTGACAGAGCAAGACCCTGTCTCCAAAAAAATCCTCTTTGCCTCCCTACAAAAAGACAAAATGGCACGCACAAGAAAGAAAAATTAAGTGGCATCAGACATTTTAACAGCAATATCTAATACCAGAAAGTTAAGTTTTAAAGTTGAATAATTAGAAAACAAAAATGGTAAAATAGATGAATAAGAAAGGAAGTAATCATCAAAAGAAGAAATAAAAATCATCCATTTCCACAACTCCTTCCAAATACATCAGGAAATCTGGATGAAAAGTCAATTTTCTAGGAAAGTGTAATTTACCCAAACTAACCCTAACAGAGATATTTATATATCCAAACAGACTTTTTCCATAGACAAACTCGAGAAAATTGTCCCAGAGCTGCCCTCCTCCCTCCAAAGAGCTTCCAGGTCCAGTAGAGTTCACAGAATTCTACTGCCTTAAACACTAGATACCTCCAGTGTTTCTTGAACTTTTTCAGAGCATTGGAAACAATAGACACCATCTAAATTATTTTTCTGTAGTGAGTATAATATTGCTACCGAAATCCAGTAGTATTGCATGCACGCACAAAAGAAAACTACCTATCTCACTTAAAAATATCAGTGAAGAAAACAATTTGCAAACAGAATCC